TCAACCATGAAAAAGAATGCAGCTAGAGACCGTTATGCTTAGTGAAACAAGCCATTCCTAAAAAGATAAATATCATGTTTGCTCTGATTTGTAATAACCAAAATAGAGAGTAAAAAATATAACATACATAAGTGAAATCGACATCTTATGATTTGATTATTGTTCACACCCCTTGTCCACACTCCTGACAAATATTTGCTACTTGTGGAATTTTTTATTTAGTGGAAAGTTGAAAAAAATAAGAAAGAAAGCAAGGCGTAGGGGTGAGAGGGATCTATATGTGAAATGCCTGGAATCTGTTCCCTTTATATAAATAAAGCAAAGCTCCAATATACCATAGACAAAATGCACACACACATAGGTATTTATACCTTTGTAGACCAAATTACATATTGGTATATGTACATATATATCTAGGCAACAAAATACACACAATGAAATAATAAATCATCTCATCACCTATATGGACATTCATCTATATGTTTATTCATGTGTATCCAAACACACACACACACACGCCTATATGTAATTTAGCTTAAGGCAGTGAAATTAGTCTGTGTGTTACTGTAGTGGTATATACACAGCATTACCCTTGACCTTAGCCAAAGGATAGTATATACATGCCATTATATATTCATCAAAACCCACAAGCCGCACATCACCAAGAGTGGATCCCATTGTAAATTTTGGACACTCTAAGGCCCATCCCATCCCAGTGCCTGTCCTGTTTCAGCGGTCAGCTTTCTGCTCAGAGGAGGTAAGAGGATCTGTGCAGCTGCAGCAGCCTCAGAGTGGGATCAGCCCTTCACCAGGTGAGAAGGGAATGGGGACCTGGGCTTGGGATCCTGGAGCATGCTCCAGGCTCACACCCCCAGCTCAGCGACCTTGGGTGGTCATCTGTGTGATCAAAGTGAGGATGAATAACAAAGGACACAGTCAGAGGACCTGTCGTTGAGCACTGGCAGCTGGATGGACAATGCAGCAACATCACGGGAGTTATGGGTTGGATGTGCATGAGCTACTTACACCCAAAGCAGGAACAGGGCTTTGGGTCTGATGGGGACACCTGGCTCTTACATGGAGTGAGCCAGCGGAGGGTGCAGGGTTGTGAAACAGAACAGACACACACACCTACATCTTACAAAATCGTGGCAGCAAGTGCTAAGTGGGCCCTCATGCAGCTGGACAGGAGCCTCCTACTGGGCAACTTGGTGCTTCAGGGCAATCTCAGAGTCCCAGGGCCCATCAGAGGAGGTTTTCTGGAGTAAGTGAGTGCAAGTGGAAGAGGACATAGGAGGGACTGTACAAGGGCAAGAGAGAAAAGAAACTTTTAAAGGTCTAAGACTCCAAGGAGAGCAGGTCCAGGGGGTGGGAGAAATGACAAGAGTTCGTGGCTCACAAATGAAGGTCAGGGAGAAAACCAAACCCTCCCTTCCAGCCATATGAGCAATGATGATGTGCAGATGTGGGTTCATCAGTTGTAACAAACATACTCTCTGCTTGATAGTGAGGGAGGCTCTGTATAGGAGATTGTGGAGTACAGGGAAACTCACTGTACCATCTGCAAGCCCAAAAATGTATACAACAGAAACAAGACAATGCTTTTTTTTTCTTTAAAAAGAAAATGGACACTGTGTGATAGTGCAAAGCAGGTAAGTACTTGCCCACAGGCATGAGGCTGGAAGTGAACTGGGGAGCCAGGCAGAGGTCAGTACCAGAAGACTCAGGTGTTGGCAGTTATCAGTAACGTCTTTCTCAGGATCCTCTATAACATGGGAGACATTGAGGATAGTTCCCTAAAGTTTTAGGGAAAACTTGAAGTGGATCGATTAGGAAATAATAAGCCAGCACATAACAAATGTAATAAAATTTTATACATCAGGTTCTATCTCTCTAACATTGCAAAAACAAAGAATTTCAGACCAAGAATCATGGGATCAAGAGCAGATGAAGTATCGAGAATGAATTTGGTGTCAAACAGATGGGGCTTTGCTGCGTCCTTTCCCGTTGACCTGATAGCACCAAGTTTCTCACTTTTTTTCACTGAACTTGAAATTAATGGTGAAAAATAGCCTGTTTGTGCTGATGCAACAATTGGAGTCCCTGGAGCCTTGTAAAATGTGCCTGTTCCTGGCCAAGTCAGCACTTGAGAAGAAAGGCATTGTGCTGTGACCTACAGGGGTGACATTAGGAAGGTGACATTCCTTCAGCAGCGCAAAGCACTGTTGCTGCTCTACCTTACGCCTCCAGGGCCACTGTCTGAGCTCACCTGCAGCCACAGAGGTCCTTTGTCATCCTGGCACCTGTCTGCTGCCCAGTCTGAACGCTTTTTCCCATACTACTGAATTCAGCTTTGGAGTAAGGATGGTACAAGAGAGAACTATACACCCAGTGAATGGTCACTAGTGGGGAACAGGTGAATGCCCAGCTCTGCCATCCTTTACTGGAACAGTTCTGAGGCCTCTATCAAAAGTTTCCACCAGGAGTTTTTAGCAGAGCCAAGCCTGGTTACTGGCAGTGGTGACCCACTGATTAACTCACTGTTTACTGGCTTTGCTCTTCTGGGTCTCACTTCCCTCTTCCCTCATGTGGGCTTCCTGGGAGCACCTCTGTTTGAAACTATGTACATTTGAGTCCTTGTCTCAGGACCTGCTTTAGGAATCCCAAAATCCTACTTCATGGTGACTCACCACCATGGCATTTCACATGGTAGCATGCGTGAGGGACAGAGGTGGTCAAGCTCAGCCATTCTTGCTCCTCTTCCTTTCTTCTTTTTCTCTTTTCCTTCTTCTTCCCCTGATTTGTCTAAGGCATCACATGGATTGCAGAGAGATCATTATTTTTGTAAACAACTTCCCTGAAGAATGACTGATATCGCTGCAGATTGGACTTGCACACCTTTAGTGAACCCTCACCACAACTGAGGTAACATATACCCCCAACCTCTCCCGAAGTTTCCTTATATTCCTGTTTTTGTGTTTAACACACGACAACATTTCAAGGGCACAATGAAGGAGATTTGGGGTTACTGTGCTAAGTAAGCCAGCCACAACAGGACAACTCCTGCATGATTCTGTATCTATGAAGTATCTAAAATACTCAAATTCATAGGCACAGAGAATGGAAGAGTGGTTGGGGGATGTAAAATCTGTTGTTCAACAGAAATAAACTTTCAGATACACTGTATGAATTGGTTTTGTTCAGCATAGTGTCTATGGCTCTAATCCTGTAACTTGAAAGGCTCTCATGCTTAAGGTCAAATTTCTGTTCTTGACAGTCAATTCAAGGCAAACTATGAAAATACAGCGTGTTATTTTGAAGATGAGACACCAAGTTGTACCCCTCGTTGCTCTGTTGGCAATGGTCTAGGGGACGGTTGGTCGCTGTGGGCCAAGCCTCACGTGCAGCAGCTGAGACTTCAAGCTCCTGGGAAGTTTGCAGGCCGGAGTGGCAAGCCCACGTCTGATCCAGCCTGTGTGCTTCGTGGGTATTCTCACCAGGGCTTGCAGCCTCATGGCGCATACATTCACTCTACTCCTGCCTGTACTGTTCCTAAACATCCTAGAGGCGGTATCGGGGAGGAAATGAAAGTATCCTCACAGGAAATACCATGAAAGTACATGAGCGGGGCCCGGTGCCGTGGCGCAAGTGGTTAAAGGTCCTCGCCTTGTACGCCCGGGATCCCATATGGGCGCCGGTTCTATCCCAGCAGCCCTGCTTCCCTTCCAGCTCCCTGCCTATGGCCCGGGAAAGCAGTCGAGGACGGCCCAAAGCTTTGGGACCCTGCACCCATGTGGGAGACCCGGAAGAGGCTCCTGGCTTCGGATCGGCATAGTATCGGCCGTTGCGCTCACTTAGGGAGTGAATCATCGGACGGAAGATCTTCTTCTCTGTCTCTCCTCCTCTCTGTATATCCGCCTTTCTAATGAAAAAATAATAAAAATAAATCTTTAAAAAAAAAAAAGAAAGTACATGAGCGAAAAAGGATGAAAAGAAAGAGAAAAATGAATGGTACAAACCAACATTAGATGATTCATGGATTTAAATTTCTAATTTGATTAGTAGGCTTCGATTTGAAAAAGAAACTGAAGAAGTGATTGCATCTCTTTCTTTTTTTATTTATGCAGATTCAAATACTGTTAAGATTTTAGTTTTAACCATATAAATGAATTAACTATTTAAATACTAGTATTAAATACGTACATAAGAAAGTAACAAAGAAAGACCACTACCCTGAAAGTACAATGTTTGCCTCCTAGCTTCCTTTTGCTCAGGTGTAGTTGCAAGTACACCAGATATTTTTATTCATCTTTTTTTAAATGACAATTGAGGATGAATGAGAAGCTAAAATTAACTGCTTCATTAGTATTTAGCATGTAAGATTATTCAAAAATATTAATAAGTAACAAGAATATGCAGCAAAGATTATCCTTTGAGCAATTATCCCTTTATCCTGATCACTAGATTGTGAAGGCAAGCCTATGAATCCATGTGCATCTGGAAGCTTGAATATAACTTGGTCACCTGTTCAAATTAAAAATAGTCTCACACAGTCTTCTTAAATCTATCCTAATTAGGTGCATCTTTACCCATTATAGAAACTGTCTTCTCACATTTTTGGTTTTAATATTATCACCCAACTGTTTTTTCCAAGTATTCAACATACACAAAAATGTATGTATTTATACCTCTGAAAATTTAAAAAAAAAAGTAAAACAAATAATAAGAAAAGAAGTTTATATCTCTGGACTCTTACAAGCTTGCTTGTAGTGTGATATTACCTATGGACTCTGCAGCAGATTCCAAGGGTATATTTATGAAATACTGAATTATATGTTTGTGTCTGAGTGCTTGCTGCATAAATTTACTGTGGCTATTCTCCAGTGTTGAAAAAAAAAAGGATTTTCATCATTTTCAAGAAACCAAATACAAAAAGTGGGATTATTTGTTGATATGCTTATCTGATTCTTTCTAGAACTTCTGCAGTGGTGAGAACACTGATGACAAATCCCATGATGGCTCTGAACCCCTTATTGACAGCATCCGGCCAGCAGAGAATACCACTGGTTCCCTCACCCTTTAGACCTCCAGTTGTGGACAGGTATTCCTCCCCGATGTACTGGTCCAGTCAGAGGAACTAATGGGTGATCATTAAGGTCTGGAATGATATTAACCCCAGTGTGGCTTTACGGTCTACTGTTACTTCGGTGAATCATGGTGCCATAATTCAACTCAAGATACTCTATTTCCAGGAGCCCTAAGTGGTCTGCAGAAACAGAAGAACAATAAACTTCCTTTGGGACTAGGGAGAAGATCTTTCTCTGGTCCTTACTTAGTTCCAACTTTGGATCCCCACTCTCTCTTGCATTGACCATCAGGGTCACTCCAGAGGCTCCGCCCCCAAAAAACCAAACAAACAAAAAAACCAAAAAACTTAGAATAGATAGACAAAGAACAACTAGGAAAGCTTAGAACCAGGAGGAAACAGCTAGCATGGATTCATACATACCTTACTAGGTAGGTCACAAAGATTAGTTACTCCTAACTAAGGTATTGAAGATTTCTCTGTACCCTTCCTAAAACTGTTCTACACCTCAACTGTTGACATATGTCTTGTTAGAGTTATAAGCCAGTTTAAACTATCCTAAACTCTGCCAAGTTCAGCTAAATTATGCTTCAATACTATAAACTGCTAAATACTAAAACGAAAATAGACATGAGACAGCTGAATAGTAATCTATAGCCATTTTAAGGCGTATAGAACCTGGTTGTATATAAACTAAAATTGAAATGTCAATGAAGTAGTCACAGGATGTGGTTAAGAACTTGCATTTTTAAACATATTGGTCACTCAGTACCATGTCAATTAATTCCATAATGTTGTAAATTGTTGTTGATGCTGTGTTGGGGCTCTTAATGGATTGAGATGATATTCTGCCAGCTCTGCCTTCAGACCAGAAATGATCTAACCAAGAAACCGTTGAATTTATCTGGACAATAAGATGCTGGACTCTATGCTTGGTATATGCTTGCAATGAAAGAATCTTGACTGAATTTAAACTGTAATACTGCAACAATGTGGAGGAATCCACCATGGGGGGCAGGGCACAGGGAGAAGGCGTTGGGAGAATCCCAATACCTATGAAACTGTGTCACATAATGCAATGTAATTAATATTTTTTTAAAAGGAAAAGAAAGATACTCTGTTGATCTCACCTTTGAGATAGCTGCCACCACTTGTCCTATGATGCCTGCGTGACCCCCCTCTTTTGACAGATAATGAACAGGCACTCATAATCCAATAGCCATTGTGTAGGTGCCAACATTGGTGTGTCAGACTGCTAGGGCTGCCATAATAAAAGATCACAGCCAAAATATATTAAGTAACAGACATGTATTTCTCGAGTTCTGGAGACTGGAAGTACAAGATGCAGGTGGAAACCTTCTCACAATAACTTTAGATAACTTTCCTCTGTCTACATATGGAGAGAGAGAAAGGGAGAGAGAGATGTAAAATCTCTCCGCTTAAAAGGACATCAGTTCTTTAAGGTTGGAACCCTGTCGTTAGATTTCATTTAACTTTCATCATCTTCGCAAAGGCTCTGTTTCCCATTACAGTCTTTAGATAAAGTGAAATTATAAATATTTCAGTTGCTGGCTGAAGCAGTATTCTATCTTCTCTTTAGAATTTTTGTACTTTCGGAGGTAAATTAGGATCTATTGTGTATTCTTGTTCACGGAATGTGAACAATAAGCTTGGACTTGTAGAGTTGTATGAAGTTGGACAAAATACGCTATCCTCCTATGTAGTCATACTTTTCTCCCAGATGGCAAACCCAGTGGAAGAAAGGCTGTCAAACGAGGAACGCGTATGGCAGAATGTTGGAGGATGGTCTTCATTTGAGGAGATCTAGCTTCGTTAACTGAGTATCTCAAAAGTTTCACTTTCCTTCTTCTGTTTCATTGTCAGCTGGGTCAGTCATTGGTAGATCATTTCCTCCTAAACTTTTTTTATATGTATATATCATATTTCTACTTAACCAACAGAAACTTCAGGAATTTTGAGCTTCATTTTGAGAAATGATAGAATCCTACATACCCACCAGTTTTTGATGTATATGTTCAGCCTAGATGCCTGTGTCCCACATCAGAGTCTTTAAGCTCAGTTCCTGCTAGGGTCCGTGTGATGGGTGTGGAAGACAGGAAGGTGTGAAGAATATTGTTTCATTGTAGGCAGGGCCGCAAGAAACTTCCCGCTGTTTGGCAGGGCCCAGCGGATGTCTCTAGGACCACCTGAATGCAGCTCCGCCTCCCTTTGCATGGACACCAGACAACCTGCTGAGATTTCTGTAATCTATTTAGGCATTGTCTGCCTCTGCAGAGTTAATGCTTAATATAAATGTGAGCTTGGAAGCTGATGTTGCTGATACCGTATTTCGCCAAAAAGCCTTTCGTTATTGCTGTCACGGCTGCCCTCATTGACAGTATGCTGATCAAGGGTGCTAACTCCCCCTTTGATCCTATGCTAATCAAGGGTGTTCTGTCCCCAGGTGTAGTGGGAATCTATTCTTTCCCTCCTTCTTTGATCTTTAGGTCCTACCTTCTGTGATAAATTTCCTCCCTTAGCTGATTCAAGACTAAGCTGTAGAATGAAGACTGTAGTGGGAATGTGTTACTGATTGATATGCACCTTCCATTGAGAACTTCCTAACCACTGCGCCAGGATGGATAACATCCTGCTTTAAGGTGAAACAAATGGCAGAATTATCCTTAGAAACACCCACTTGACCATGACGTAAAGAGTCTGAGCCAGAGTTTGACTGGTTCTGTATAAATAATGCGGACAGCTTTCTCGCATTGTCCACAATGATCATGGAATCCTTGTGGTTCGTCTCTCTCTCTCTCTCTCTCTCTCTCTTTGTGCCTCATCCACGCACCCTTCGCAAGTTCCGAACTCAGCTGGAGCAGGACTCCGGCAAGTTCCTGCTCCAGAACCCCCAATTCCAGCTTGCTGCTAAAGTGGACCCTGGAGGCAGCAGTGATGGCTCAGAAAACTGTCAACCACATGGAAAACTTTGCCACCTTCAGTCCCCTAGCAACAGGCACCTGGGGAATAAATCTGGGGATGGGAGTCCTCTCTTTCTTTCTGCCTTTCAGAAGTTAATTAGTTAGTTAATTAATTAATCTCATTGTGAAAGTATCAGAATTTTGTATAATTCCATCTTCCTATTTTATCTTTTCCCCCTCCCCCCTAGAGACATGCTGCCTTCCACTGTAGTATCCGATCCAAGACAGTTTTGTGTTCCTCCCCAATTTGGATCCTCTGTTCTGCCAAACACAAATATGCCGAGTATGTTGCCGAATCATGTCTACTCAGGTACGAACAACAGATGGCTGGATCGCACCTGTGGGGTCATCGCACCTGTGAATGCCTGCTTCACACTTGGCTCATTTTTCTGCTAGATTTTGGAAGAAGAACTGGGTGCCGGCTCTGCTTGTATTTTCTACAATGCTGCCCAGGTTCAAAATGCGGTACCATCCATGTGTGACCAAGCATAAGTTGTAGAATTCCTCTAAATACAGCCTGTTCATGGATAATATGAGGAGTTGCAATGTTACTGTCTTATCCACACATGATGAGATCAGAGTATGAATGAGTTTGGGACAGTTTCTGTGGAGCCTGTTAGGTCATCCTGGGAACTTGGCTTTTATTTTGACGAAAAAGGGAGACTTCAAGAAAGGAATAGTGTGGTTTAGATTATATTTTTCCAAGAGCAATTTGTCTACTGAGATGGCAACAAACCTGACAGGTTCAATGTTCCCTGGATAAAGTAAGAGGAGTTAACAGCCTATTAAAATAGTGAAAAGGCTCTGACAGTGTGGCCTTGGGTGGCAGTAGTGGGAGCAGTAAAGGATGGCTGGAGTCTAATTACTTCCACAGCAGAAGCGATAGCATCTTTTCAGTTTGGATGCGGACGTTGAAAAGAGGGAAGAGCTTGCTTCAAAAACTGATGGAATAGAGGGCCTGATGGAGGTACTGAGTGTTGCACAGCAAGTTGAGCCACCACATACAACCTGACTAGGAAAGCAGCAGAGAATCTCTACCACCCAATGCGAGACCAAGATGGAATTCCTGGCTCTTGCCTTCAACCTGGCCCAGACCCGGCCCTTGCAGCCACATGGGGAATGAACCAGCCGATGAAAGATATCTCTGTCTCTACAGCTCCACTTTCAGATAAATAAATGCTTAAATGAAACTAATAGTGGAATTAAAAATAAGGATTTTTGAGCAATTTTAAAATTACACATACAATTTATTTTTTATATTTATTTTTAATTTATTTGAAAAATTACATGGAAGAAGGGAGAGACAGAGAGAGGAAGAGATCTTCCATTCACTGCTTCATTGCTTAAATGGTCATAACATCCAGGGCTGGGTCAGACTGAAGTCAGGGACCAGGAGCTTCTTCCAGGTATCCTAGTTGGATATAAGAATCCAAGCACTTGATCATCTTCCACTGCTTTCCCTGGCACATTAAGGAGCAGGATTAAACACATAGCAGTCAGGACTCAAACTAGCACCCATTTGGCATGCTGACCCTGCAGACAGAGGCTTAATGTAATACACTACAACCGTGGCCCCTACAATTCCTTGAAAAAACAAATGTAAATACATCTTACCTACTATGAATATATTTCAAAAGTTTTCTGCATCAAATATAAAGTTGTCTTTTAATTCAACTTTTCCACAGATTTTTTTTGAAATGACCTCATACTAAGGATGTTACCTAAAACTGGAAACTAAGTAATTAAAACTATGGAGTTGTTCTTTCCTGAATTATGCAAAATTGTGGGAAAAGCAGAGTTCTTGGGGAGGAGAGAGATCAGAAGCCCAGTTTGCTCACATTGCACTTGAGGTTCCTAATAGCAGATTAGGAAGACAGCTGAAGCTCAGGCAGGTCTTCCGGAGATACAACTTTGAAAGTCATCAGCATACATGAGACTCGATCATATTATCTTTGGAGTGAGTGCAGAAGATGAGGCAGAATGAGCAAGCTACGGAGTAAACCAGTGGAGGTGGGGATTGGACCATCCTCTACTGCTTTCCCAGGCCATAAGCATGGAGCTGGGTGGGAAGAGGAGCAGCCAGGACAAGAACTGACACCCATATGGGTTCCCAACACTTGCAAGGCAGGGATTTAGCCACTGGGCCCTCACACCAGCCAGAATCCAGTGGTTTGTAGCCCAGGATTATTGACTGTAAGGCAACAGACTAGTAAAATAGTCACATTGCTGAGTCACAGAGCTACTCATGGTGCTGAAGAACCCATTAGTAGCCAATATTTGGAGACATAGAAAGACAGGGACACAGGTCCAGAAGCTTGCCTCATGGCCTAAGAGCTTCAGTCTTACAGAAACCGAGCTACTAACTTAGCAAAACAGAAGCTGACGTGGGGATCTGCTTTAAATATGGGAATATTAGGCAGGGAATGAATTAGCACAGCTCAACTAGCTGGAAGCTTGATGCCACCTACTTGGCAAAGGGAAAAGCCTTAGAATGGGTGTAATGGGTCCAGATTTCAGAGAGTCCAAAAATCTAGGCAATTAATATGCTGCCCTCTGAACCAAGATCTTCCACATACACTTTCTCTACATCATGGGCCGCATGCCATGGTTGGTAGTTTCAGGCATGCCAGTTATCTTGAAGTCACTGCACTATAGAAGCCTTTATGGTTAGAAGAATTTCCAGAGGTCACCTCATCTAGCCCCCTGAATCTTAACAGATACCAAAAGAATTTCATTTTTAAAAAAGACAGTACAGTTTATTTCAAGGTCACTGATTAGGAATTTAATGTGTCATACTATTTTGGTGCTAAGTGAGTATATGAAACAGCTTTTGCCCTTGAGGTGATTATATTCTCTTACTAAGAAGAACAGATTTACACAAGAAAAGATATCAAGCAGATCAACCTGTACCTGGGTATAGCTGTGAGGGTGTGGTTTGTGGTGTTGTCTGTGAAGACAAGTACATATTAGGGGGGGGGGGGAGCTTTAAAATGGTACAGAGGAAGATCTTCCATCTGATGATTCACTCCCCAGGCAGCTGCAACAGCTGAAGCTGAGCCAATCCAAAGCCAGGAGCCTCTTCCAGGTCTCCCACACAGGTGCAGGTTCCCAAAGCTTTGGGCTGTCCTCGACTGCTTTCCCGGGCCACAGGCAGGGAGCTGGAAGGGAAGCGGGGCTGCTGGGATTAGAACCGGTGCCCATATGGGATCCCGGGCGTACAAGGCGAGAACCTTAACCACTGCGCCACCATGCCGGGCCTGTTTCCTTGCATTTTTTAAAAGAATTGCTCAGTGATGGGTTAGAAACACAAAGACAAAAAAAATTAAAACTTATTCTATTGTAGGTGAAAAGCACCAAGGTGGGCTGAAAGTGGAATAGGGGTTCAGAAAAGGGAACAACCAGCACAGCCTCAAGGACCAGGCAAGAATAGAACCATATATAGCTCTTGTTATTGCAAGATGTTTTGGAAGGTTAAGGTGTGCAAAAGGATGGAATTGTTTTCCAACCTTAACAAAAATATTTCTGAAAAAAACAAAGTATTTCACCTCAAATATACTGAAAATTTTACATTGAATACCTTGTGTAACATTACCTTATATAGGGTACAGTACTATGGCTTGGTTGGCTTAATCTTCCCCTTGCAAATACCACCGGGATCCCATATGGGCGCTGGATCATATCCTGGCTGTTCCACTCCCCATTCAGCTGCCTGCCTGTGGCCTGGGAAAGCAGTAGAAGTTGCATCAAAGCCTTGGGTCCTTGCACATTGTGTGGGAGACCTGGAAGAAGTTCCTGGCTCCTGGTTTTGGATTGACTCAGCTCTATCTATCCATTGCAGCCACTTGAGGAAGGAACTGGTGGATGGAAGATCTCTGTCTCTGCTCTCTGTAAATCTTTCTTTTCAATAAAAATTTAAAAAAAAATTTTTTTAATTACCTGATCTATTTAAAGCCTGGTTGCATTACATCAAGCACTACTATTTAAACAAAGTCAACTGATTCTTCCCATGCCAAAAAACTATACTCTGTCACCTCGAAAGCAAATGATGAAGGAAGGCAGACAATGGGAAGGTAATAGTCAAAGAGGCAAAGCTACTAGACAGCTCAGCTCTAAAGAGCTACTCTACAGCGTGGGACTGTAGTTAGCACCAAGTCACTGGGAACTACTGCTCTCTACCTTGGCAAAAGGAAGTTCAGGGGTTTGCTCCCCATGGAAAACAACCAATAAGCTAAGTAGCTTGATCCCATCATTCTGCAACATATACATTCATGAAAGCACCTCATTCTACCCCAAGAATCATTTAAAAAGACAAAGCAGTCAAGAGACATTCACAGCTCATCTATAGAAAGAAATTACCACCAATCAAAAGACCAACAGTTAAAGAAATAAAAAGTAATCTCCCATTTATCAGGCTATCATCAAATTGAACCTAAGAGACAGTGGTAATGATCTGATGCCATTTCTAACACTGTGCCCAGCTGCTGATTGCTTATCAGGTACTCTCTTAAATCATTATATTTTGCCTTAATGTAATCAAATGCGTGTGTTAAATTTGTGGATCCAGATGGATATGTTGTTCTGTTTTTTATTGTTTGTTTTGCTTTGTTTTATTTTCTTAAGGTTGGGGCATTGCACCATCTGAATCTGTAAAGGCCATTGCCAGAAGGAATGAAATGATCCAAAGACATCATACGGCCAGGTAACTTAATAATGCTGGTTGCCTTTTTTATCTAAGTTAAAACAATTATTTCTGTTTACTTCAAAGTCAATGACATATGCATCAAGAGAGAGCCAGATACTCAGAGATCTGCCGTTCAGTCTCCAGGGTCTGCAACAGCTGGGGTCGGTCTCGGCTGAAGCCAGGATGTCTGACTTCCATCCAGACCTCCATGTGGTGGCAGGATCCCAGGTACCAGAGGGTCAGCAGTGTCACTGAGAGTACCCATGCAGGAAACCGGAGCCAAGCATTGTGATACGAGATGCAGATGTCCCAGGTGCTATCCTAACGTCTGTGCCAAACACACTGCCATGTTCTATTTATCTGCTATTCACTCACGTTTTCTTTTATTCATTTGTTTTATAAGTATTTTTGTAGTCAGATCATACTTTATAGGAAGCTTAGGGGCAGAGATGTAGTCAACTCAGAAAGGATACAGGGAATCAGAAAGTTACAGACTATGGTAATGACAGGTCAAAAACTCAAGAAGAAAAAAATCCTGACAAGATTTTTAAAATTCCTTATGGAGAAGATGAGTATGCAGAGGACCCAGAAATTGTAGCATAGAAAGTGTGTGTGTGTGTGTTTCCTGACACAGATTTTCATGAACTTTTTGAATATTCTTGTATGCTGATTTCAAAATTTTCCTATACCAACACCAACTTATGTTTTAATTCAATTTTCTTTTGAAGTACCCTTTTGAATATAACAGCCTAGTAAATGAATCTATGTAACAAGTGAGCACATACATACAGATTATATACAGAAAGCATTTCAGGTAGATCACAAAAAGAAACATATACACAGGCTGGCAAAGGATAAAAGTGAGATTACAAACCATCCCACAAAGCTAATGGTGGCAGTAGTCTAAAGATGACACTTGTTTGACAGTTTCCCAATTCAATGAATGGTGATTCTTCTGAAATTCATCTTGGCATTTCCGACTTTAATTTTGTCTTACTTCGAAGAACACCACCAGAGCCCAGACAACCATATTCAATGTAACAGTGGCCTTCTGCTGCAGTGATTAGAAAAATATAACAGAAATGACTTCCAAGTGGCCCAAGGTGACAAAAGCCATACGGTCAGTTTTCCCATCACTGGAAGCTAAGGGTGCAGTGATGACCGATAATCCATCTGAAGGAACCAGAGTAACCCTCTGGTACAGCAGCTAAGAGCTTACTTCCCAGAGGAGCTAGTTGGAGTCTCAGCCCCTCTGCTTCAGATGGAGCTTCCTTCGACTGCACACCGTGAGAAGCAGCAGCAATGTCTCACGTCCTTGGTTGCCTGTGGTCCATGTGCAAGAGTCAAACTGAGTTCGGGGTTCCTGGCTCTGGCCCAGCCCAGTCATTGCCACTGTGGGTATTTGAAGAGTGAACCAGGAGAAGGAAGACTTCATCTCTCTTTCTCTCATTTTGATTTTCAAATAAAATGAAAACAAACACATTTTTAAAAACTATTGAAAATGAAATAAGCAAAGCCACCAGGAAGTCTTTCCCTTCTCACCTCTCTTAGCTTCCTGTATGGATTCACAAATGTTGAGACTTGGGTTGATGGGTTCTCTTGTTTGAGTTCCACTCAAATTGGACTCCAAAGTTTTGACTCTCTTCCCAGGGTTTCAGTTTCTTTGAAGGTTAATATCTGGCAAGATACTGATCTGTGCTATTACCTCATCTTCCTAAACTGGTCCTATTGAATATTATGTTCCTCTTCTCTTTTTTTAATCTATCTATTTATTTTTTAATTTTTTTACAGTATTATTTCCTAGGCACAAACATTTCCCCTTTCACCCTTCCCAAACCTGTCTCAACATGTTTTCCCCCATTGAAGCTTATGATCTAAAGATGAGTCTTGAACTTCTGTGGTGAGATTCAGCTAAACACCTCGCCTTCAGATCTAACTCCAAACTCTCCTTGACTTTATGGAGATTCATGTTTTCACTGATCAAACTTCAAATAAATAATGTGAGGATGAGCAAAAAAACAGAGGTGCTGTCTTAGGGAAGGCAAGAGGCCATGAAAATAGTATTTGTGGGCCTGGAGCAATAGCTCAATTGGCCGAACCTCCCTCTTCAATTGCCAGGATCTTATATGGGTGCCTATTCGTATATCCCAGGTGCTCCATTTCCCATCCAGTTTTCTGCTTGTGGACTGGGAAAGCAGTAAAGGATGGCCCAAAACCCTGGGACCTGCAGCCTCATCGGAGCCCCAGAAGAGACTCCTGACTTTGTATCAACTCAGCTCTGGTCTTTGCAGCTACTTGAAAGGTCTTTCTGTCTCTCCTTCTCTCTATAGATCTGCCTTTCCAATAAAAATAAATCTTCTGAAACATGTTGTTTTGGTTTTAGGACAGAAATGGAAATGTACGCTATTTACCAGCAAAGAAGAATGGAAAAAGTCAGTCCCAAGGGACTAGCGGGCCTAGGCATACCATTGCTATATGGTCCCAGTATTCCTGCTGGCCTGGCGACTTATCACGGCAGAAGCATGCTCCCTGCCAGCGACCTGCATTTTCACAGAAGCGCCTTCAGAAATCTTCCAGAAAACTCCATGCTGATGGCAACTGGGCCACACTTTATCGACAGTTGGGGACAGAAATGCCGTCGCCTCCGAAGAGGCACAGGGAATCAGAAGGTTCTAGACAACGTTCCTGAGACTTCCACAACTCAGGCAGAAGAAAAAGTCCTGGGCCAGACACATGCAATCCCATACGAAGAGGCTGAATATGCCAAGAGCCCCGAGACAGAAGCACACCCCCACCGGAAGTCAGGCGAGACCCAGGAAAGGCCGCTGAGTGCACTCCCCAGTGCCTGTGGAGAGCTGGAGCCCGCTCACAGGAATCCCTGGCAGTCTCACGCCGGTCTTGTGGAAGCCAAGGCCTGGGAACCGGTGCAAAAGAAGACTTCGGAACAGCTCTTTGCAGCCTGTGGGGAAAGGAATGAGGTGTGCGCTGCAGGTTCTCCTGCAGCTCCGCCAGGTGGGTGTCCAGGGGCTTTGGCAGGCCTGTGTAACCACGGACAGCAATACCTGCTCTCACTTAGGGAACTGTAACCATCGTGCCCCTTTCTGCCCTTCTTTCTTTTTTATCCTGCTCGGCATGACCTCTCATGAAGGCACTTTATTATATCAGATCTAATAAGCTATATGCATGAGACTAGTCTGCTTAATGCTTATTAAGAAAAATTTTCAACCAAGGCTTAGAAGGTAACTATGAAGTAGTATAATTGCCAGAATTTTTAATTTGAGTTGCTGTGAATTTCTTTCTTGCTTAGAGTATGGATTCTCACTCCCCTGTATTTAAGTGTGAATGAGGGGAGCCCCGGAGGGGAGGGGGGTAGCAACAGTTATCTGTTAATATTCCTTACTGTTGTGTATATTTAGGCCTGAAAGAGTGAACCTACAACACACACACACACACACACACACACACACACGGCAGAATATGCTAGAGCTCCTTTAGGTAAACTGTTGTAAAGAATGGAAATGTAGCAGGATGTGTTTTTTAGCCACCATAGCTTCCGCCTCCCCACAAAGTGTTAATTTGCTGTCTTGATCTCAGTGTACCAAAACTTTGGTCTCCCCCACAGAACTCGGGATTATTACTGTGGAATGTGGTAGTATTAATCTGGAGGATGAAATCCACAGTGATGTTGAAGTCTGGGAGAAGATGGCATAAATCTAGAAATTCTTTGCTCACTTACCATAATACTTGTTTTAAATAGCCTTTCACAGGAGGGAAAAACAAACAAACAAACAAAAACATGAAGTAGCTAAGCTGTTAAGAAATTCTTCCTAGGAACACCAAATCTCTTAGAGGATTACCAAATGGGTCTCAGGACCTTACTGTGGGGACAGAATATTAGACAACTAACGTAATTACACATCAACCTGCACTCCAAGCTTCCCTTCGAAATTTTATGTCACAACACAATCTTCTTTCAATTTTAAAGGGACCCATGCACCGGTTGCAAGCAGAGAGCATCTGTGTTTGGATGCAGACATTCAGAAATGGACAGTGGATGATGTGCACAACTTTATCAGCGGCCTTCCTGGTTGCTCAGACTATGCTCAGGTGATTCCGGATTTTGGTCTTTTCATGTATGCATGCATATTTTTCCGTGGTTCATTAGTATGATGAAATGCCAGAGGCAGGCTAACTTTGTCAAGAAAAGAGATCTGTTTACCTCATATATTTAGAGGTTCAAGGTCATGGTTCTGGCATGGGCTCAGCGCTTTGGAGGGCCCTCTTGGCTGAGTCACAGCAGGGCGGATTGCAATGTTGCAAACAGCACATTTGGGAGGAAGAATCTCATTTGGAAAAAAAAAAAAAAAAGCGGCACAGTGACCCTAGGGCCAAGCTCAGGCTTTCAAAACAGAATTCGCTCCAGGAGGACAGCATCTCCAAGCCCAGGACCTCTCCCTACCTTGCTGTTCTAAGCCCCTGTATCACCACACTGGGTCCATCCAGGCTCCAAACATGTGAACCTGGGGTGCTGGGGGACAGACAGCAATATCCAACTGGAGCAGTTGTGGCCAGTTTGAATTGTGTGGACTGCAAGATGAGTTGGTCAGATTTGCATTTTGCCTCCACACATGATTCCGCCTCATTTTCACTGTTTATGTCACAGATGTCTCTGACTGGTGGAGCTTGGGTCACAAACTCCGTGTCATCAGGAGAGACAGGGAAAGCCAGAGTGTCCAGCTTCAGCTTCTGCCCCAGTAAGAGTCCCGAGAAGTGGGATTGCTCCCTACATCAGATGGCAGTTCAGAGGCTACACGCCAAAAAGAATGAGGAATGTCCATTATATTCCCTGCTCATCCACAAAGCAAACAATTTTGGAGCCCAGGCTTATGTTTCACAAGTTTCCGGCTATTCCTTAAGTAATGGGAAGGCCTACTTCACTCTTAATAGAACTGAAAAGTAGAACATTAACTCTTTTAAATTCCTTCTTTATGTTAGAGCGTATATCAAAATATACACACACATAATCCAATCATAGGTAACATGATGAGCATTAAAACAGTTGGAAAGAAAACTAGTTTCACTCATATGGGAAAGTGGGTGACAAAAATCACAGATTGGTAACTTTTTGAGGTTTATGTCACTGATTTTCATGCACATAATTTTTTTGAGTGATTTACTAACACAATTCTGAGCAACAAAGCACTTGCCAAATATGGCCTCATTAGCTTCGATTTACATATTAAGCACAAAGCAGCAAAAGTATTTTGTGATTTAACTATATCCTCATTAGCTGATTTCTGCAGAACTCAATTTATACGAAGTGTTTTCCTATGTTTTATGTAGGAAGTGTTGAAGAATTCAATTTTTAAGAAGTGTTTCATGTAGCACTTTGAGTCCTTTTTCTTCTTCCTTTCTCTGTTTTATATTTTTTAGTTCTATTTATGGAACTTACGGGAAAACAGTATCAAGTAGTAACGAAAAGTATGGCTTTTGAAACCAGAAGCACAAAATCAAGTCCTAGTTTTTCCATTTTTTTGTGTGTAATCTGAGACAAGTCACTTCTCTTCTCCAAGCCTCAGTGTTTCCTCTGCAAACTAGGGGTAACTGTGACCACTCGTTTTCAAGGGATGGTTCTAAGATGGCGTGGCACCTGGGAAGTGTGCAATAAGTGATCATTTCATCATTACCTCATTATGTTCTATGACAGCAGAACTCAAATTACTTAGGAAGAAAATTATGTTCCTTCGGTTATTCATATTTTTTGTGTCTTTTTTCATAACCTGATAAACAGAGGTGTTCTACTTTCTCCTATCAGTGGGTATAACATTATTATTCTATTAGCACTCATTATTTATTTTTAAAATGTGTCCATACCACTATCAAGTGCCAAACCAACTACTAGCTGCAGAGAAGTTGCTAAGTTCTGATAACAGAGACTAAGAGTCCCTGGTATAATAAGCATGCGACTGTTCATTTCTGGGGACATTGAGTGTATTTCAATTTTTGTTTTATCAGCCAATGACTCGTAGTCATAAAACTGCAGTTTATAATCACTGCTCTCATGATAAATAATGTTATAGGCATTTTCTGCTTATCATCGCAAATGTCCCGCCAAGAGGCTACTGACTCATCATCTCTTAGATGTCAGTACCACTATGCCACTCCAGCTAGAACTATTTATTTCCAGATCTTTCTCAGATGTCTTTAGGATAAGGTCTGGTTTTTGTTTCCCTGTTAATGTCTATTTCCTACAAGCTCTTACAGGTTATATCAACTGCCAGGTGCCACTACTGTGCTGTGCACACCCACTGCTCTTCTGCACAGAAATGAGGAGAACACCCTAATACAATGGAGAGCTCTGGTCGTAACAATTCCAAAGCAGCAAACCTCTTTTTATTTTAAATAGTTTTATATTAAGTTTTACTTATTTGAAGGACAGGATGGTGACTCTCTTCTGGTGGCAAGGACATGCTAAGTGTGTGCAGCATAACAAGCTGCACATAAATTCTCTGAACTTGCTCTCATCAAAGTAGGCTGCCAGACCAGAGGGGGTCCTTCAAAGAGCAAAGCAGGGCTGAGCAGAGAAGAACCCCATGCCAGGTTTTCTCACAGAGTTGAGGCAAATTAACTTCTAAATTAGAGACACATGACAGGGATATTTCAACATAGAGAGACAGACATGGAAGCCAAGACAGCTGCTGAAATGACAAGAAAACCCAGACAGACCTCAAGGTGGCCAGAGAAGCAGGAGGCATCGAAGGTGACCTTGAAGCAGAGTGCAGTGAGGCCACCCAGGAGTACACAGCTGCGTGAAGGCCAAAGAAGAGCAGTATCCATGCAGGGGCAGTCAGAAATGCCACAGGCAGCCAGAACCTGAAACCAGGACAAGCAAAAACTGCCCACATTTGGTGCACCGAGGGCCCCATGTGTCTGGGGAGAGCAGGTTTAATGCCAATGATGGGGGCAGAGCTCAGATGCACTGTGATGCAAGAGCAACCGGAAGGTGAGACCAGGAAGCCAAGGGGCATCTGTACCCATGGTAGGAAATGTGACTGTGAGAGGAAAGAGAGGCCTGAGGCAGGAGCTGGCATTTGTGCTTTCATTATTCTTGTCTCTTTCCTGCTGGTGAACTGCAGTGGGGAAGAGTTGGCCCAAGAGGAGAGACTGAAGAAAAGTAGCAGCGTCGCCTGTCAAGTGAGATCCCCAAGTGGGAGGGAAGAAGGATCCTTCTTCTTTGTATCAGGACTGTGGGAGAAAAATAGAAGAGTTTAGGTTCATTGTTCAGAATGAGAGAGAATTCTTTTCTAATAGTTTCTATTGCTTTGCTTGTTTTCATTATAAAGTAGGAAGCTATACAATGTGCTGAACATGGAGGAGGACTTCATAGGGTCTAAAGCTGAGGAGGGGCAGAAAGCTCACTGGTGAACATAGAATTATTTCGCAAGCTCAAGTTGGAATTCACAAATTATGTTTTGCCATCTGATCATTTTATCAAAATGTCTGTATCTACCTCTTGATCTGCTCACAGCCTCCATCCACTGGCAGGCTTCCTGGATTCTGGAAGGAAGGCTGGCATGGTCACATCCACCATGACTGAGTCGGAACGAACAGACTGCTACAAAGATGCACTAGGGACAGTGCTTGACCATGTCACCATGTACACAGAACACACCACACCGATAGACGGGAGGAGCAGCACTTGTCTGGCAGTTTCGCCCACACACTTCCACTTAGTGGTTGATTCTCCCATGATTGTTTAGTTTGCACGTTCTGCCATATACAAGCTACTGCACTTGGGTATGTTGGTAAAGAAGACAGGGATCTGGCCTCAAATAATAATGATTCCAGGTTGGGCTTGAGTTGTGTAAACAGAGCATTGCATGTCACTCCAAGGGTTACTAAGGAGCACCAACCACATACTACTGGGAGCACAGAGAAGAGAACAACTAAATACAAAGTCACAACTGGATGAGGTTAACACCATTCTGTGTTTCACAAGGTGTTTAAAGATCATGCGATTGATGGAGAGACGTTGCCACTGCTCACAGAGGAGCATCTTCGAGGCACTATGGGACTGAAGCTAGGACCAGCATTAAAAATTCAGTCGCAGGTATGTTGAATCGATGTAATGAAAGCTGTATGCCTGATGATATGCTTAAGAGAAAAAAGTTAACTTTGCCCTTGTGTAATATAAGGAATATTTATTTAACCTCTTTCATAAACTTTTCTTCTGTGTATTTAGGGACTTGATGAAAATAGAAGAACTTGGAAGCGTGGGACAAGCTGGAAGTCCATACTCCTAGGCAGAATTGGGAATGCACTAGGCAATGGGACAGCTCTGCGCCAGCCAAATGAGGGAAGGCTCTGTGGTACAGTGGGTTATGCTGCTATTTTTAGCTTGCAGCATCCTGTATCAGAGTGACAATTGAGGTGCTGGTTATTCCACTTTCTAACAAGTTCCCTTACCAATGTGTCACATAGGAGACCATGTCAGAGTTCTGGGAACCTGGTTTCAGCCTGGCCTGGCCTTGGCCATTGTGGCACTTTGGGGAGTGAACCGAAGAATGGTGCCACCCCAAGTTCAATACCCATCATTCTGCATTTCAAATAAAACCAACTAAATAACAAAACAGGAAAACCATATGAAACTCAACTGGTAGCATGTGCCAATTCCTAATGTCATTAAATACAGCATTAGAAAGAGATGCACAGTAATGTTCCATTTTAGAGTATTTTCACTAGGTGTTATGGATCTATTCTATTTCAGATATAATAAATGTAATCTCAAGAACAGAGGTAATACTGTATAATAACATTAATCTCATTAGGTAAGAACAGATGAGTTCTGAATATTTCAGTTTTCAATGTAATTTATTTCATTAAATGAGCTCATTTATATATATTTAAAAGGTTTATTTGTTCAATTTGAAAGGCAGAGTCACAGATAGAGTGAGGGAGAGGCAAAAGCAGAGGTCTTCTATCTGCTGGTTCACTCCCCAATTAGCCACAGTGACCAGGATCGTGTCAGACAGAAGCCAGGAGCTTCTTCCAGGTCTCCTAAGTGGGTGGTAGGGGCCCAGCACATTAGTAGGAATATGAATTGGACATGAAGCAGCTAGGACTCAAACTAGTATCCATATGAGATGCCAGTGTTGCAGGCAGTGGCTTTACCTACCACATCCCAACACCAGCTCTTATTTTTCAGTAGTGGTCACTTAAACAAATCTATTGCAAACTCTAAACATCTAATAATTAGGCTCACATACTGGAAGGACTCACTGCAGCATAGTGCTTCACCCCACCTTCCTGCTCCACTCTGGTCTAAATCCAGCAACTCTCACTGGGTCACCACCTAAGCCCTCTAATTGTGCCCCCTGCTTCTGCCCTATACCACCAGACTCTACACACAAACCAATAACAGATAATCTCACTAATCCATGGAACCGTTCGTGTGTCTCTTCTGCTCAAACCCCTGCAATAGCTCCCCATCTCCTTCAGAGTCAAAATCAAAGTCCTGTGTCATTTAGACACCTATCTACCCTGTACCACCCTCTCCTCAATGCCTTGGCCTCTGTTTCTCTCCAGCTTGCTGACTCTTATCTCACTCAGCCCTAGCTGCTCCCTAAGCACTCTGGGATTGCTCTTTCTGTGGTCCTTCCCACTGCTAAGATGCTCTTCTGGCCATGACCTCATGTTCTGGTTCCTGATCGTTTTCATCACTGCTCAACCACACCTTCTCCGTGGAGCTTGCTCTGATCACCCTATTCAATGTGCAGCTCCCAGGCACACTCCCAATAACCATTTTCATGCTCTTTCTTTGCTCCCATAACACTAATCACCTTCAAGCATGCATTGTAATTTAGCTGTTTGTTGTATTCATTGTATATTGTTGATTTCTCCCATCCCAACTAGAATATAAACTCCATGAGAAAAAAAAAATTATTTACTTATTTTTATTTTTGCCATTATTCTGGGCCCTTTTTTCCATCTTTTTAAAAGAGATGTTTACTTTTATTGGAAAGGCAAATTTACAGAGAGAAGGAGAGACCAGGGAGAAAGATCTTCCATCCACCGGTTCATTCTCCAAGTGGCTGCAATGGCCAGAGCTGAGCCAATCCAAAGCTAGGAGCCAGGGGCTTCTTTGGGATCTCCAACACAAGGTGTAGGGTCCCAAGGCTTTGGCCCATTCTCTATTGCTTTCCCAGGCCACAGGCAGGGAACTGGATGGGAAATAGAGCAGCCAGGACACAAACTGGCACTCATATGGGATCCTGGCACTTGCAAGGCAAGGATTTAGCTGCTGAGCAGTCACCCCGGGCCCAAGAATCTTTTTTATGTATTAAAGTTGGATGATGTGCCCTCAGAACCTCCAGTACTCTTAATAGGTCAACAATTATTTGTTGGACACATAAACTTTCTAAAATTGAACCCAAGATGTCACAACTAATTCATCCTAGAACTTAAACAGGATTGCATCTAATTACAATGAATATTCATGCCAGGAACTGAGATTTCACAATGTCCTTCCAAATCCACTTATACTTGTCCCAAATGTTTAACATAGAGTTCTTCATTTTTAATGTGAATAATTCCATTTAAATTTTTTTCCAATTTTGCATTTTGAAATAAGTTTATCACAGATAGGTTGCAAAGACGTTATAAAAAATTCACCTACTTTTCCCTAATATGAATATTGACACAATATGATGTTCATTTTTTAAAAGATTTATTTCTTTTCATTGGAAAGGCAGATTGATATAGAGGAGAGACAGAGAGAAAGATCTTGCATCTGCTGATTCATTCCCCAAAATGCGGCAACAGCCAGAACAGAGCTGATCTGAAGCCAGGGCAAGGAGCTTCTTCCAGGACTCCCATGTGGGTGCAGAGGTCCAAGGACTTGGGCCGTCCTCTGCTGTTTTAACCAGGCCATAAGCAGGGAGCTGGATCGAAAGTGGAGCAGCCTGAGCCCATATGGGTTCCCAATGTGGCAGGTAGAGGATTAGCCTGAAACACCACCACACCAGCCCCTGTAATGTTCATTTTCAGATTTTTTGTTTGCTAATTTAGTGAGAACCTTGCCTCATAGCATACATATGCTATATCTTGTGTTTTTTCATGAAATGAAATTGTCTTCGTTTTGTCATTCATTTTTGCTGTACTCATTCTCCATACATGTGTCTCCACAATCCCAATTGAGAGATATGTCCTGGGTTCAATGTGCCAATACAACAACACAGGACTCCCCAAGGAGCTGGGGGAAGGTCCAGTAAGTGGGCAGTGATAGAGTCCTTGGGGCTGGGAATTTCCAAGATTCAAGTCAAAGTAGGAACTGGAAGTCTCTGAAAAACACCTGGGAATTCCAGAAAGTGAACAGATGAGAGTTCAACCTTGGATAGATAACAAGGTCTCCAAGGTGGGACTGACGGCAAGTTACACTGTAGCCAGTGTGGCCGATAAGAAGGAAACTTTGAGTAGGCGCTGGCACTGCTGTTAGTTTGCCAGTTGGGATGTGTGCATTCCACAGCAGTGTGCCTGGTGTGAGTCCTGGATCCTCTACAGCCAATCACAGCTTCTTGCAAATGTGCATCTTGGGAGGTAGTAGATAATGGCTTGAACAGATTGGTCCTTGGCATCTTCATGGGAGACCCAGATTCACTTCTGGTCCATCCAGATATGGGTTTTGCAGGTGGTAGAGCAGTGAACCAACAGGTGAGTGTTCCCTCTCTCTATCTCTGCCTTTTGAAAAAAAAGAAAGAAAGAAGAAAAACAAGGTTTTTTTTTTTTTTAAGATGGAAGACAACTACCCTCTGGAACAAAAATTTAGAATGTGGATTTGAACTGGGTATGCAGGGAAAGGACAAAAGAAGGAAATGTTTTAGAATGTGAGACCTCTGAAATAAACATACTATCAGAATGGATGTAGCTTGGGATTTAAGCTTTGATAATGTAGCCTGGGTGCCACCCAGGGTCACATTTATAGCATGGACAACTAAAGCCCAATACTTGGTGTTGGGGCACCATGTCTCAGAGCAGCCTTGTCTATGTCTTGCCAGTCCTGTGCTAAGATGGCCTGAATATTTCTAGCTTTGAGGTGAGCAATTTCCACAGTGGTTTAGACCATGATCAATTCTAGCTTCCTGCTAGTGCATACACTAGGAGGCAGCAAGTGATGGCACAAGTACATGTGTACCTGCCATGGGATGTCCATACCGAGTTCCTAGCTCCTGGGTTAGGCCTAGAGCAGTCCTTTCTGTTGTAAGCATGTGGGCGATAAATCAGTAGATGGACAATGTCTATCTCTCTGCCTTTCAAATTAAATAATTAGCTAATTTTGAAAAATAATTTTAGCCACAGCCTGGACAAGATTGCTTGACTGTTGGTAAGGGTGTGGTGGGACATACTGTGGTGGGATGTCCTTTGATGGGACCAGTGGAGAAGAGAGCAGTGGGATGGACTCAGGGACATCACTCTGGAGTACAGGTGCACAACAGTAGAGCAGGGAAAGGCCATGGGAGAGTGAGTGCCACCTTGTACTGAGACCTACAGCAGCAAACATTGTGTGGTTTTGAGCTTATGACATGCTCACCACTTCCTAGAACTGAGACGCCCAGAGTCCTCAGAGATGCTGCATGCCTGCAATCACCTCAGCCTCCCCCCACCTCTCTGTCCTGTTTAACCACAGGTTATGGAAGGATCCTGGAGACCTAATTATGCCAACTGTTTTATCTTCAAAGGTATCTCAGTATGTGGGAAGTCTGTTCTACAAGAAAAGTCTTTCTCTTCCTGCCCATGCAAGACAAGCACTTGATCACCTAGCAGACCCATCTCCTCTTCTGGGTTTTAACTCCTGGAGTGATAAATTGAGCATTTCCTGTCCCCAAGAAGTGTCAGCTCCTAAAGGGACGGAGCAAGAAGATATGAGAAATTAAAAGCCACCAAGGAGAAGCAGCAGCCCAGATTGTGTAAGGATTTCCTGAAGCCAGACCTAAGACAAGTGGCCAGAAGGCTCAGGGTGGAAGGCTGGCCTTCTTGGAGTTGTCTGAGAGGGCACTTTGACCAACAGGCTTCCCACTGGGCAAAGGGACTCCAGGACCCAGGGGCTGTGTAAGCAAATGCCAGTGAGAGAGAGAATTTAAAACAGCAAGGAAGTAATGTTGTGAAACTGAAAGAGCCTTTGTTGAAATAACAGCTGCTCCTCAGCCTTCCTTTGCTCATTTCCCACCCCCAACCCTCAAAGAGACAAAGACTGGGATCAGAAGAAGACAGAAGAGGAAAAAGAGAAGAACCATGCAAAGGATGGGAGGAGCTGACCTCAACATCTTATTCTAACAGCTTAATGCAGGCCTGGCTGTGGAGTTCCCAATTTGGCCATAACTTTAGGACCAGTTGTTTTTTGTTTGTTTGTTTCTAAAATGCAACTGTGGTTGGCCTGGCAGTTATCTGACCATTAGATGAGAAGTTATAGTACCCATCTGGAACTCCACCCCAGGGGCAGGGAAGAGTTATCTCTATCATGCAGGCCAGGCGTCAACTGGCCAGCAGGGAGGAGAGCAGGGAAAGTGGCTTCCTGTTTGTGTCCCATGGTGTCCCAAGCTGCACCACAGTGACTGACGGGTGTCTCTAGAAAGGTAACAATAAGACATAGCAATTTGCTCAGGGGGAGGCCTGGCTAATGGGGATGTTGTGAAGATGTCTTACCATATACCCTCCTGCTTGAGAATTTGAATTTGCAACCATGAAAATAATCTTTTCTGTTTTTTCAAAATGTCACATTTGAAATGAGCTATCTGTAGTAGGTAACTTGTAAGCTGTTTGTCCTGGCATTCACCCTCCCTGTGAGTGGGGAGTCCTTTCTGGAGAAGAAAACATAGGGCTACCAGAGATCTGGCAGCAGGGGTCTCCGTGCCAGAACCCCCTGATGCCCTCTTGGTATCAGTTGCTCCTGGGAAAGATGTGGGGAGAGCCCCACATGCCCAAACCTGGCCATGGATGTTTTGAGGGCTGTTGATACCCAGATGAGTGAAAGTGCTATGACTGCCCACAGGACACCCTGTGCCAGAGCCCCACCCAGCCAGAAACCCTGGGAGATAATGCAGGAGGGCTGTTGTCAGCCCAAGTTTTAGAGTTATTTGACTTACAGCAGTGAAAATGAAAACAAATAAAGGATGTTTAGTAAGCACAAGCAGTGTGTTCACTGCCATTTGCTCTCGGATTTGGAGTCATTTCCCGTGTCTCTCCCTCTCTCCTTTCTAGAGGTGCCCCATCTCCCCGTTCTCTCCTGAGAGGTACTTTCCTCTTCTTCCTTCATCTTTCCCTATTCAACAGGACACTTCGCAGATAAAACTTTGTCTGCCACTCATTCCAGGCTTCTTATTTCTATACCAAGATGAGGAAAGAACCCACCAAGCTTTTCTGATAACATTTTCTCCCTGGTGTCCAATGCGGGACTTGAAAAAGAGTTCTTAGACTGGAGCCATGTGGCCAACTCACAAGGGCTCTTCAAACTCTAAATGGACCTGCGTGTGAAACCTTGCATGAGACCAACGTCTGTCACAGCAACTTGGATCCCATGCCTCAAGGGGTCTCTTTACCCAAACAATGCCCCATTTCAGTAGAAGACATTATCGCCCTTTACCCCTACAGAACTAGAATGTGAGAGTTCAAGAGGGGGCTCTGAGACCTTCTAGGCTTGCTAAAATCTTGGCCACACCTTCAAGTGGGTGGCAAAAGAATTGCCCATCTATTTCCTAGCTGGTTAAGAGAAGCTTTTACCTGTAGGTTCCCACCCAGACAAGGAGTCAAGGAATGCTTAAAATCCCAAGACCTCCTCAAACCTTTGCTATATCTCCCTCTCTCCTTTCAAAAGGCACCCCACCTCTTCTTTCCACATCCACATGGTCACTTTGCAAATAAGGCTTCTCTGTCCACAATTGTGGGTAAAAAGTTGTTTCCCCCATAAACTACACTCATTTCATTTATTTCACTTTCTTTCATTGTTACTGTGGAGTCAACAGATTTTTTTTTCATGAAATAAAACTTTTACATCATCAAGTGCAGTAGTGAGTTCAGTCTCTTGTCTCTTTTGCTGAGAAAGATGTTATATGGAGACAATACCTCCTAAATCTCAAGGTTTTCTTTCCTTTGTGCAAAGTTTCTTTATTTATTTAACTGAAAGAGTGATGGAGAGAGAGAGGTAGATAGAAAGAGACCTTAGATCCTCTGGTTCACTCTCCAGATGGCCATAACAGCCTGGGTTGCACCAGGCCATAGTCAGAAGCCAGGAATTCCATCCTAGTCTCCCCACCTGGGTGCCAGGCATCCGAGTATTTTAACCACTTTTTTGCTCCCTCTCAGGCATGTTAACAGGAAGCTGGATCAAAAGTAGAATAGCCAGACTTGAATCAGTACTCCAATATGAGATGTTAGCATCATAAATGATGGCTCAAACTATTGTGCCCCAACACTGACTCAGACTTTACTAGTTTTGTATAATAACTATACCTAATGAGTAATAATATAACAATAAGTTATTGAATACCAAGGATCAAAATTTTTACAAAAGATAATTTAAAGAACACTTTACTTTTTCTTCCTCCCTTGTTGTTCATTCAACTCCCCAGTGAACTGGAGAATTATCTTGTCACGTGACCTATCACCAACTATTATTCCCACAAAATTCTGATAGTGGTACATTTGGAAGGGTGGAAAGACATATGCAAGTTCATGAATGCTGGAGGGTTTAGGGGCAGTAAAAAGAAAACCTGAATGTTTTTAGTGGCAAAGGTAGAATGTGATTTAAACTGTATGGTGACTTTTAAGTTTCTGATTTGTACTACAGGAGCTGATGGAGTTGATAATAACTCATTTGAATAGATGTGTTTTAATATTGTTGTAAGGAAAACGTGCTGATATGTCATCCTGGCACACATGGTCATCAAAAAAAGCACTGTGTTCAACTTTATATGCGTGCATTTATGCATTTAAAAATAGGGGACTGGCACAGGCTAATCCTCTGTGGTGCTAAAATCCCATATGGGCACTGGCTCAAGTCTTGGCTGCTTCATTTCCAGTTCAGTCCCCTGCTAATGGCCTCAGAAAGCAGCAGAGAATGGCCCAAATGCTTGGACCCCTGAACCATGTGGGAAAAGAAGCTCCTGGTTCCTAGCTTTGGACCAGCCCAGCTCTGGCCATTACAACCACTTGGGGAGTAAACCTGTGGATGGAAGATTTCTATCTGCTCCACCCCCACCCTCTCTCTCTAACTCTGATTTTCAACTAAAAATAAAGCAGTCTTTATTTTTTAAAGAAAGGATGAAAGGAAGGAAGGAGGAAGGAGGAAGGAGGAAGGAGGAAGGAGGAAGGAAGGAAGGAAGGAAGGAAGGAAGGAAGGAAGGAAGGAAGGAAGGAAGGAAGGAAGGAAGGAAGAGCCCTCCAGCTCTCATTACTTTTCATCAAAACCCAAGACAAATTGTACCAAGACTGTTTTCTTTCCAGATTATAGATTCCTGAGTCTTTTTAAACAAAGGAGTCACTTTGATAACAGATGACTTTGGAGGATAAAATTTTACTCACATTCTTATATTAGTATTTTTTAATTTTTCCTCAAGTAAGACTTTGGTCTTGAGCATACTCTTTATGAAATTGTTTTTTAAAGAAACGATAACCCAAACTCTTGTGTTTACAAACCAATCACAGCAAAATTCAGTTTGATTAAGTAAGATATTACAACTCAATGAAATAGTCTTTTTAGACTGATGAAGTGAATGTCTGCACAGTGGGGTACTACACATATCATCTCTACACATATCATAGCTACCAAGAAGAAATAACAGAATGCAAAAATCCAGGTTTTGCTTCCATTAAAAAAGAAAAAAAACTGAGCAATGGTCTTAAATGGCTGCACACTTTGCAAAATGAGAAACTATCATATTATTTGTACCCTGAAGAAAATCTCTGAAACCATGAGAGACAGTCTTTTAAAAAGTTGGTATGTCCAATGAAAGAACCTCAACTGAATCTGAACTGTGGTAACACAGCAAGGTGGACAAATCCACCATGGGAGAGGGTTCGGGGAGGGGTGGGGGGAATCCCAGTGCCCATAACACTGTGTCACATAATGCAATGCAATTAATAAAATTAAAAAAAATAATAATAATAACAACACATTAAAGACAAGAGTAGGCATTCAAAAACTTTTGATTTTTAACAAGTAACACAAAATTCAGAAATGTAGTTTTATTTCTCTATGTTTATGGTTATAAACTTTCTCACACTGTGAAATAAATGAAATTTGAACTAAAAAAAAAGTTGGTATGAACCTAGTTAAGCCTCTATCTAAAAAAAAAAACAGTTTGCAGGAAATACAGGGGCAGAAGAGTATATTGAATAGCATCATCATTATTACAATATGAAAATCTGAGTTGTGGTATAACTCTATAGTAGAAATGAGTTGGTATTCTTAAATAAGTTTCATGAAAAAGAAAAAACAAGACAGAGAAAAAGGGGACATCATTACAAGTTAAAAAAAAAAACTTAAGATTCAAATAATTTGACAGAAAAGTTTTCGAAACAACCATGACTGTTCTACAACATTGTAAATGTAATTAATACCACTGAATTGTGTACTTAAAACTGCTAAAATTATTGATTTTATGTTACCTATATTTTGCTATAATAAAAATTATATTTCAAACCACCCAGTACAATTATCGAAAGTATTTGAATCTTCATTCAAACACATAGTAAAGTTTATGAAACAATTGGGGAAATTTGAAAACAAGTTGGGGTATGCAATGCTAATAAAATTTTTTTAAAGATGTAATACTAGTGTGGCAGGGTTTTTTCAAATCTGGTTTTCTAGAAACATACTGAAATATGCACCGATAAAATGAAATGTATTACTATCTGGGATTTGGTTGGATCCTGCCTAGTAATCTAATGAGGCTATTATTATTTTATAATGGATTAGATAAAAAGAACTTTACTACTCATGGCACACATGGTAGGTAGCATGAACACCAGTATATGTGTTCATTTCTCTTGCTATGTGAGCAAAAAAGAAGGGTCCAGAAAATGACTCCACATGCAGGGTTTATGCTGCTGAGCTGAGGAACACTGGATAGGGGACTACAGCGCTTTCATAGCAAGCAGCAAGTAAGCCTGCTCTTTATTGTGGTAACGGTAGGTTTGGAAGGGTGAGAAGAGGTTTCTCAAGAACATCTGTTGTAGAATCCACCTTTTTATTTTTTTTTTAATTGGAAAAGGAAATTTGCAGAGAGGAGAGACAGAGAGAAAGATCTTCTACCTGTTGATTCACTCCCCCAGCGACTGCAATGGCTAAAGCTGAGCTGATCCGAAGCCAAGGGCCACGAGCTTCTTCTGGTTCTCCCCATGGATAAAGGATCCCAAGTCTTTGGGTTATCCTCCGCTTTTTCCCCAGCAGGGAGCTGGGTAGGAATTGGAGCTGCTGGGGAAACAAACCAACACCCTTAGGGATTTAGGCATGTGCAAGGCAAGGATTTAGCCACTGAACCATTGCACCAGACTCTATAGAACCCATCTTGAGAAATGACGCTAGTAAGAGAACAGCCAGGGCCTGGTTGTCTTAGACCGCCTGGAAACATGTGTAGGAGCAGAGGTCCCAAGAATAGTATCTCCTTCAACAGTATCATGATCTGGATTTGCTTAGGAAACTCAGTTGAGAGGGTGTAGGCAAGGCAATGAGAACATGAGTGAAACAGGTTTAGTCATGAGTGGGGGACTTGTTCAGGTTGTTTTCTGAGTACTTGAAGTTCAATATAGTTTCACTCTAAATGTTTGAAACTTTTCATCACAAAGTCTTAAAAATAGACTTACTGAAGAGGATACTAATGTTTAAAAATCACCATATTTTAATCGATATATTTAGTATTAAAAATACATGGAATAAGGACAAACATTTGGTCTAACAATTAAGGTATTTGTTAGAATACCTATGTCCTGTACCACAGTGCCAGGGTTTCACATCCAGCTTTGCTCCTGACTCCAGCACACTGCTGATGTAGACCCTGGGAGGTAACATCAATGGATCAAGCCACTGAGTTCCAGCCATCCCCCCACCCTGCCACCCTATTGGTGGGGAGACCTGGGTAAGTTACCAATTCTCATCTTGAGCCTGGCCCTGGCTGGGTCTGTTTCAGGCATCTGGGGATTTAACCAGTATAAACAGTGTCTTTTCTTTCCCTCTCTTTCCCTCTTTCTTTCTCACTCTCAGCCTCTCAAAATAATTTTTTTTCTAAATTGGGATGTTTCATTATGCCCTGAATACATACTTGAAGTTAATGCAGTTTCTCATTATAGTAAATAGACACATTGTTGTTTTATTACAGGCATATGAAAGTTCTGTTTATACAGAATTGCAGCCCATTCACTGTGATTATCCAGTCTGTCATACGGAAAATGATTCCTTCTCTGCATATGACAACACAGGTCACAGGTGTCAGTGTGCAGCCAGGGGAGGCTCAGCTCAGCTCAACATCATTGAAAATGATTTTAGTCCATATATTTGTAATGATAAGAAACATTTTTATAATACATTTTATCTTCCTCTTTGACTCATTCCCTATTTGATCATTGTATTTTGCTAGCTAAAGTTAGAAAAAAATATACAAAAGCTGATTGATGAGTTCAAATTAAATGTTGTGTGTCATTTGCTTCTATGAAGATATTCTTTCCAAGTAAAACAAAAGCCAAGGGCATAAAATAACTTGTTACTATAAACAAAAACGTTTTATTACTTCATCTGTAGATGATCTCTTAGTCCTTGATATGGGGGAAGAAAACATGCTATAATTTATAGATTTCTGTTTATTTTCAAATTATTTTTGGAAAACATCACTGCTGCCAATGCTTTTACAGTTATGATATTGAGTTAATCATTAGAGTTCTTGCACTGAATCTCCCTCACTTAATGTAAGAGTTGCATGGTTCTCTTTCTCATTTAGACTTTCAGAAATAATTAGGAAACCATCAGTTCCTTAATACTGCTGTTCAACAATTCATTCACTGCATAAATACTTCCCAAAAACCTGTGTATCAGGTTCAGTGATACAGTTAAGGATGAAAGATGAACTTTGTGAGTCCTATTTCCACTGGCTTATGTCTGCCAGATTTTTTGACTATAGCATTTAGTATAAACAGTGGTCTCTCTCTCTCTCTCTCTCACTTTCTCTCTCTGTAGCTAGGACAAATTGAACGTTAAAAAAAGAGTAAGTATCAGAACACACTCAAATCTTCTATGAGCCCAATTTCTTGTCAATCTCCTCTTAAAATCCTTAATTATTTGATTTCTAAAACTGCCTTCAGAACTCTGAGATTCCTTTTTGTGCTCATTTTTGGGAACAGCTAAATTTCCACCTAACAGTTTGTTTTCCTGCAGTCTTATTCCTGTATAAAGAACTTATTTCACTTCAAGAAAGATGAAAATGTGATAAACCAGCTTTTACAAGAACCTAACCCCTTCATACTAACTGCCCATTTTCGTAATACTTACCCTCCAAGAACATGTCTTGGGGATCAAAAAAGAGAAGCCATCTTTCTTGGGGCTCAGCCACTGTCTTCTGGGGCTCCCATACTGGTCTAACCCTCCATAACATGGGGCTGCCATCTCACTGTTCTTGCAGAGACTGTTTATCACTAGGTACTTGTTTGGTGGCTTTGAGGATATGGGCTACCAGGAACAACCATGTCACAGTAGAAAAATCTCCAAGCAAAGCAACAGGTAGGAGGCATGCCGATGTAAGCTTAAGCTGCCTGGGCAAGCACTGCTGCCAGCATGTGCTGCAAACCCTGTTGTCAATTGATCCAAGATTAAAAAAAAACTGCAAAAGAGGAAGAAGAAGGGGAACTAGGGAAAGAAGAATCAAAAGCAATACAAATGCAGACTCCTGTCCTGCTTCTACCACATTATGTCTCCTACCATCCTAAGACATCCATCTTCCAAAGTGATTCCAACTTCCGAAAAGAAAATTTGTCTTGATTCACCCTCCACTCACGTAGTTCGTTCCGGGACAACCCCTCTACTTTGGTTATAGCAAAAGAGGGATGCTTTGGATTGTATTCTTGGTGGAGAGGAGCTTCTGCTTTGGATTCACTCTTCTGGTCACACCAGGGAGGATGAGCACCACCAGGAGGGTCGCTGGCCTACAGTCACCGTCTCTAGCTCCTGGTGCTACCTTTTTCAGCCACTTCCACTTGCTGAATTCTCCTCTGCAGTTGGCTAGTCCAGCAAAATTTTCCCCAAAAAGTTTTGTTCCATGTGAAGTTCATTGGATTCTCCAAAGGCTCAACCATCTCACCATCTGGAAGGATGTTCCTCTCTGTTCTAACGACCAGCCTGACAGTGAATGCATCCTCATCTGTTGTCCTGGTTCTTGACTCCAAACCTCTTGGGCTACCACCTTTTAAATGCAGAGTACTTAAGTTCAAAACACTTCTTCTAAGAGTATTTTACCTTTGCTTTCTTCTAAATAGTTTAATTTTCCCATTGTGTTTATCGCAACTGATCTCCCACTTAGTCCCCCAAAGATAACTTCTGAAGGACATAGTCATAATCTCCCTTCCCTCCAGACTGCTGCTGTAATTGCTCCCCATCCCCTCCTCTCTCTCTCTTTCTCTCTCTTTCTCTCTTCCTCTCTCTCTGTCACACTCACACACACACACACACACACAACTGCACACACCATCCTCCAGATGGCATTGAAACAGCCTTTCCCTTCTATAGACAATCTGCTGCTTCTGACTTATCTTAGGCTCCAATTCCTCTAAATAATTCTCCTTATTCCATAATGCTGTGAAGTTATTTAATTAATTTAGCAAGATTCATCATACAACAACCATAAATCAAAGCTTAGCCTTACGTTATAAATCAGAACCTATTTATCTCCGTTTAACATAGATGGTGCCACCAGCTGCTTTGAATCATACACTAGAACTGTCATTCAGCTGCTCCTTGATCCCTGCAAAAAGTGGAAGTTGCAGAAAGTTTTTCCTCTCTGTGGGCCAAACTGATAACTCCCTGACTGTCGGCCTTATTCTTTGACATTTATGTAAGTAACCCAGCAAGTTCTAGACAGGAAGCATAATGTTTGCTGGAATTCTTTCAAATGTAGTGCTGTATTTGCCCTAGATTAATAGAACTCCACTGCAATTTTCTTTTGCTTGCAGCACAGAGATTACAAGGGTTTGCAGAAATCACTGATGCAGTTGGAAACACACCAGTTGAGAACATTCCCTTGATATTTCGAAGCTTCGTCCCAGTCCTCTACTCTAGCAACATTTTCTTTTCAGGCACATATTTAGATCCTCAAACACCTCATAGACAGAAACAGCTTCTTTCAGAACAACAGGAAGAACTTTGTTATATGGTAGTGCTTTTCTTGTGAATTAGGTGCTGACATTAAGTTGTTATATGAGATTGGAATTAGTTTCAGAGTCTAACATTGGGTTGGAATCCTTCACACTCATCCTTTCCTACATGATCAACTTGGCTGTTTGTGCTTTGTTTTAATATCAGGTTGTTTGTCTCCAGAACTACGTGTTAAATAAACTAAGCAAATGAACAAAAGCTCACTGCACAGGGATCAGAATGAATGAGCCAATGTTTGGTTACACAAGATACACAGACATGAGTGATAGCAAAAGCATAAGGTTTTGAGCCCTAGGAGCAAATGGAGGAGAAAGCACAAAATTTTATTCTGGATTTGATTGCCAAGCCACAGGCACGAAAGAAAAATATCAACCAACATTTGTTGAGGTTCAACAATTATTCAGGTAATGGCATCCAAAATATGCATCCTAAGTATTGCTTCTCTTAGAATTTTCCAACATGAATGGTCGAACCAAGCTACTTCCTCTGGTTGTCATCACCAAAATAGTTGAATCATAAATTAGTACTTTATTTTAAAAACTAGAATAAAGGGTAAGAATAGGAGCTGTTTAAAAATACTTACTGGTATTCCGTGCATGAAAGGAATGACTGGGTATAAACTATGAATAAAATTGTAGTTTGTGAGAAGATTCAGAAGCTTTTTATGAAAACAACTTTTTTACTTTAAAAAGGTCATTTCTTTCAATAATCTTGTTTTAGGAGGGTTTATCAGTTTGGGTGTTCTACAATACAAAATAATAGAAAACTCAATTCAAACTGGCTTATACGATAAATGAAATTCACTGGATCTAGTTAAGATGTCTAGCTGCCAAGGCTTAATCTACTGGTTCAAATGATGTCACCAAGGATCTAATTTCTTGCCGGACTGCATTCCTTGGCTTAGCAGGTTGTTCCATGCAAGTGGCTTCCAATCAGCCCAAGATCTTCATCTCAGGGCAGTAAGATGCCTATATTAGCCCAGACTTAACATTCTCCAAACCCAAGTAGAAAAGAAGAGCATGGATCTCTTCTAATACCAAGATCCTAGTGTCACTCTGTCATAGTAACCTTCGCGTTTACACTCAATCTCTGTGGCTAGGAGGGCAGGATACGTTGATTGGTCCTTCCTTGAAGCCTGCATTTTTAAGGCCCATCATTTTATTTTCTACTGTAATAGCTCATCTTTTGAATTTTTAACCCCTTAGGAGCAGCAACTGTGATTTCTAAATTTCTTAAATTATTTCAAAGCACTCAGATTAATGAATGGTCAAAGAATGGGATTAACAGATTGAATAATTTAAGGTAACCATTATATGAGCGTATGTGTGATCGTAACAGTAATTCTTTGTTTATGAACTTTCTGTTATTTCAAAGTGTTTTTTTTTTTTAAAAAAAAAAGCTTATTTTTATGAGAAAGGCATATTTGCAGAGAGAAGGAGAAACAGAAAGATCCTCTGTTGGTTCATTCCCCAAATGGCCTCAAGAGCCAGAGCTGTTGAGCCATCTGAAGCTGGGAGCCAGGGGCTTCTTCTGGGTCTTCCACACAAGGTGTAAGGTCTCAACGCTTGTGGGCCATCTTCTACTGCTTTCCCAGGCCATATGCAGGGAGCTGGATAGGAAGTGGATCAGCCAGGACGCAACTGGCACCCATATGAGATCCCAGCTCTTGAAAGGGGGAGGATTAGCTGATTGAGCCTTTGCGTCAGTCCCTGTGCCAAGGTTCTTGATAAGCAATGTGTTGAAATCACGTGATGTCAAACATTCCTCATAACCCTTCCAGATCTCTCCCTAGTCTCTCCATCATGCTCAGTGCCCAACAGGTTGTCTTCAATAGCCACTGTCAAAGGCCTTCGCTTCACTCTGATTTCCACTTAGATTCAGCCATTGGGAACCAACAAGCAGAGGCAAGGATTGGCCTCCTTTGGGAGGCCATAGCTCCCCTCAGGCAGCCTCTCCTGCAGCTGTTTCTGCCACACCCCTCGAATTCTGGACCCTGGAAACAAGCTTCTCCCCTAATCCTTTCAAGACTGCACATGATAAGACTCCCTGCCATTGCTGGCTCCTGTTGGGTTTCTTTTCTCACTCCCATGCCCATGTAAATGATACTTCATCGTCCTAATTGTCTCATTTAAGAATGATATTTTTGTTCTGGTTGGCATCATGACCATACATGCCGAGAGAGAGAGAGAGAGAGAGAATTGAAACTGACTAATTCATCAAAACTATCAGTGGAATTTATTGAATCGTGATGATGACTTCCGGTCAGGTCAAAGGCTTCAATCCTGCCCCTAAAGCTTTTGGAACTAGAAGGGACTTTACTAATCAGAGTGCTACCTTGATGATAATATAATTAAATATGCATGTAAAAGGGAAGATAAGTCTTCTTACCTCATTTTACAGTTAAGAGTAACAAAGAAAAAGGAAGGTAATTTAGTGGCCCAGTTGGTTCTGAATCCTACCTAAACAGGCTATAAATATTTGATTTTAATAAATGAGAACTTTTATGGATGGGTTTCCAGCCTAGCAGTTGATGTCAGTTAAGACAACTATATCCCACTTATGAGTGCTTGGTTTCAAAGCCCAGCTCCAGCCCCCAACTTAACCTTCCAGGTTCTGGCTCCTGGCTGTCAGATCTAGTGCAGATCGCTGCAGGTAGTCAGTGATGATATCTCAAGTGGTTGAGTTTCTTGCCACCCACAAGAGAGTTCTGGAGAGAATTCCTGGCTCCCAGCTTTGGCCCTGCCCAGCCTCAGCCATGATAGGTATTTAGGGAGTATACCAGCAGATGGGGGCACACTCTCATGTTCTCTGTCTCGTTTTCAAATAAATCAGTTACAAAATATTAACATAAATGGGATCTCTCTAAGGCCAAAAGCAAAACCTCACTCTATGGGAAGAATTTACAGAAAAAATAAATAGTTAATATCTATACTTGCACATTATTTGTTTTACCCATCTCTTAGTCCTCAAGCTATTTAATAGTGTGCACCGGGAAAATGGATGGGTGATGGCACATCTGAGCTGGCTCTTTTTCCTGAAATGCTGGAGATAGCAAGGCCGCTGCTTTGCTCTCTGCTCCCATTTGCCTGCTGGTTCTGCCTGCTGATTCACAGAGCGAAAACAGAGGCATACCAGTCAGGGCTGGAACATAACCAAGGACAGCAAAACAGAGCCCAGCTTTGATTATTCAAAAGGAAGATATTCCCAGTGCACACAATGTTTATAAAGATGCCATAAAGTTAGGGATATGTCCAGAAAAAAAAAGTGTGTCTAGAAGTCTTCCACTGTCTCAAGTACTTTGTGATGTGTTTCCCCTTTGAACAATGGGCTAAACTTTTGAACAAAGTGACTGCCACTAAACTGAAGTATCTTTGAGATTATAACACATGGCTTGCTCTCCAGTACTCTCTCTCAAAAAAAAAAAAAAAATCATCCTATGCAATTTGTAAATGTGAAATGTGAAAAAGTAACTTTCACATTGTTGGTTCTCACTTCTCCTGTCTTACATAAGCAGTGAGTGTATCTCCTTTGCTTCACACTGTACCATTAATAGCATTTTTGTTCCTCACTCTAGCTTGGATGGGTGCAATAAGCAAGAGAGGAATGGGACCATGCTATGTGGTGCTCAGCATGTGTTGCTCATGAGATAGATGAGGCAAGGCACAGCCACCTGCATACAGTAATAGCTCCCTCCACACTCCAGTTCTCATTGCCATTTAGAGTGCTAGGGTTCAAGTCATATCTGCTTCTGAT